GGCTCAATTCTAATGTTGATTTTAAGGTGTATTTGCTGCACGTGTTCAAAATGATAGTTCCAAAATCAGACTGGAAGATATGAAGTGATTTTACAGTGTGTGTGTTTCTAAAGAACTAATAAGCATCTAATGACACTGGAGACTTGGCTTCCGCATGTGATTGAATACAGGGCTGAGGATTCGTGGCTACATTTTAATAGCAAAGTCGTAATTTTCAGTAGTGTTTATGGTAAACATTTGGAAGTACTGGCATGTGCTGGCTTACTTTGTGTGATGTTTGCAGCTGTTTTTGACTGTAGAGCTAACAACTTTAGCGAGATCCACCAGTGACCAGTTAAGACCCCTTCTCCGTGGTACCACACACAGGAGAGAAAGAGAAACTATACACCTGAATTTCATACCTAACACTCTATAAGGAAGAGGAGACACTATTTCTGCTTTTGAAGATGACTAGGAGACTTTTTTTTTTTTAAGACCATTGAACTGGCATTTTAACCTGTGCTTCAAACCCATGGGGAATCACAGTGAGAAATCATTAACTGTATCCTATTAAAATCCTTAACAAGAGACCTGAACTGCTCTCATTGATTGAAATATCTTCTGTTTCTAATTCAGTGTTTATCCTCATCCTCTCTTGGGGCTTCTGAGCAGGAGATGCCCAAATGTGTGCTGGGCTTTGCAGTTTTCTCTCAGTGACTGATCTCGTACCATCAGCTAATTGTACTGAGAACCAAAGCCTCAAGTATTTTGAAGTTGATTTGCTTTTTTAAAAATCCCACTTATTTAATTAAGCAAGGGAGTAAAATTTGCTAACCTATTCCCAGTTCTTTCAGACAATGAGACGTCACCAGCACTGGCTGCATTCATCCTGTAGTAAGCTATCATATTAGCTAAATTGAACACTATCAAAGGCAAAGATGCTTTTTAGGAGGGTCCAAGACAATACACAGACATGAGTGGATATTTACACTAATGGCATATGTCTGTTTATATGTAGAGAGAGATAGATACACACATACGCGCACACACATACACACACACGTCTAAAAATTCCCCTTGTGCTTCTCTGTGGCATGTTCCATATAGATTCTGTCATGCCCTCCCCCACTCCGGCCCATGTCACTGCAGTGCGAAGGGAGGTGTGTTCTATGTTAATTCATAAGTGTTTCTCTTGTCAGAGGCTGATAGGGTTGTTATTGCTCCCCAGTGGCATTTCACTCTAAGTGCAGTGAAATCTCTTGTACTTGTCACTTGGGGTAGGGGATGATGGTTACAGAGGGAAGGTCTTTGCAGAGAACTTCCATTTCAATTCAGTAAACAAGCCTTTTTTAAGCGACTAATTTCCTAAAAACACATTAGCCATTGAGAGTAGGAGTTATATTATTTTTGGGTGCTGCGAGGTATTCAATGTTTGGAGGGATGTCAGACATTGGAAACCCAACCCGAGAGCCAGATTTTACCAAATCAGATTGTCACGGCCTGATACGGAATTTGCCGTGCCAGAGCCTGGGTAGACTTTGCCTCCCCATCCCTCCCTCCACAAAGTAGGGGAGGATGTGAGGAATGCTGTGGGGTAGGGGGACTCCAGCGCCTTAAAAGAGTCCTCCCTGCAATTACCTTACCTGCCAGGCTTCCAGCAAGATAAATGGAAGCACTGTAGCTTGAAGGTGCCTTGCTTCGAATGAGATGCAGTGAGGGCTCTCTGTTCTTGCCAGGCATCGTAGATCTGATAGTACTTACACGAGAAGAATAGCCAGGGCCCTGCTGACTGAATTGTCCTCCAGAGGAGTATTAGTTACAGAGCTTCTTTGTTAACTAGGCTGCATGTTTAAACCACTGTTGAACTTCTTTTATTAACCCGCTTTAAGATAGCTGTGCATATGGATACCCTAAACATCTGCGGGGTGGGAATATTCCTCTTTCATTTACATATAAAAGTTACGTGTGTGTCTAAGAGTAATATAGAAATTACATCTTTTTTATTACTCGGCTGTTTCACTGAGGTCTAGTCAGCACTGAAATTCTGATGACATGTGAGCACTGAGAAAGCTGCTGTTTTTATATTTTTCTCTTGGTATTTCCTTGATCGGCTGGTTGAATAACAGAAATGTTTCTCGTGCCTTTGCAGCTTGAATGACGCCCTCATAACTAACACCCCTCGTGTCCTGTTCTCAACCATATCGTGGAATTTTAAGGGAGGACAGGGAAAGAGTCTATAGGTCGAGTAGAGAATTTAAAAAAATTTAAAGTAACAGTTTGGGGTTAAAATGAAGAAAGATTTATATGAAATTATTTAACTTCAGTGGATGATTTTTTTTAAGAAATTGAATCTATATTGTCTTCTCTGTGTTTAATTTCATATGTAGTGTAATGGGAGAGAGTGGTTTTATGTCTCGTTATCTACCAGGAAATTCTTTCCTCTAAAGAAGTATGAATAGGCCATTTCCTCTCAGCTGAGTGTTATCTGGTGGATCTGGCACCCACTCCTGCTGCTGCCCACAGGCCAGGTGTTAGAAAGTGTGACTGGATAGGGAACCCTGCCATCATCACAGTGGGGGGTCCCTGGTCATTCTGTCACCTGCAGAGAGAGTAGTGACTTCCTATCAGGCTCCCAGGTGCTGACCCTGCTCAAGCAGGAGCCCAGGTCTGTGTTACAACGGCCCTCATTGTTACTGAAGCAGCCACAGTTGGTCCTGAGAAAGTTTCCTTCCAGGAAAACCTTATGGACACTGAAATTTGAATTCCATATACTTTCTGGATCACAAAATACTACTCTTTTGATGCCCCTCCTCTGCCCTCCCCCCCCACTCCCCGCCCCCCCCCAGCCATTTAAAAATTTTCACCTTGTGGGCAGAGCACAAGCCCCCAGGTGGGCTGTTAGCCTGCAGCCACAGTGTGGGGGCCTTGAGCTACATCCTCCGTGGCTGAGAGGTGGTCACCTAGGATGGGAAGGGGATGCCTAGGGACAGACACTCACTGGCACAGAGGGAATGACCCATGACCCGTCTGCCTCCAGGCTGAGACTGCACCCTGAGAAGCAGCCTAGGGCAGGAGTGGGCCCAGGCCCTGGCATCCTCGCCCAGCATGCCTGTGTGCGCATGCGCACATCCATAGCCAAGGGTGCACAGCCCAGCCTGAGCATCTTCTGCCCTGAGTGGAGCAGGTTCCTTGCTTAAAGCCGGCCTGTCTGTCCTCAGCTTCCTGAGACCCGTGTTCAGTTCCAGAAGTCTGAGTCAAAGTGTCGTTGACCCCAGTCATCAAGATAAATACAGATTGGATGCAAAGCCTGTGTCTCGTGTGCCGTGAGCTAGGAAGACTTATTTATTTTTTCTCTGCTCCCTGAAATACTCAGTTTGCCCCATTTGAGTATGGAGATTTGAGGGTGCCTTTTCTAGGGTTGATGGTATTCGTCTGCCCTGTCACTGCTGTGTTTATTATTTCTTCATCACAGTTCTGTGACCTTGAAGCGTGTTCTCCATTTTACTAAGAAAGGTATTCTTAGCCCCGGAAACTATTTTTCTATAGCCGTCATAGTTTGGTAGGGTCTTCATCAGCTGTTCTTCAGAATGTATTTTTTAATCATTGGCAGTTTTGCTGTTCAAAAGAGTTTTAATTATCTGACAGATGATTAACAGATAAACTTTATAGAAGACTGGGTTCTAGCTCTGAGTTTGCTTTGGGACATTTGGGGTACCCTGAAGAGCCCACTCCAGCTCGTGTCTCCCCTTTCTCACTCATGGCCTAGTCTCTTTCTGCACATCTCCCTCTGTCAGCTTTCAAAGCCTCAATTTTACAAGCCCCAGTTCCAAGTTGTACAGTAAAATGAAACATCAGTAAAATTGAATGTGTGGAAGAGATCAGTTAGGATTGTGCTGTGTAATCATACATACCAGGTATTTCTGATCCCATACTACAACATTTAGTCCTAGAGTATTATCAAGACAAATCCCTCTTAGGCTGTGACTCAGCCTTAGAACTCACAGCACACAGACCTTGGCTGCCACTGCATTGTAAGCCATTGGGGTGAGCTCCATGCAGACAGCCCCAAACTTCCTTCCTGAGCCCTATGGCAAGCCCCCACCCCCAGTTCTGGGCTCTGAGGCCATAGCAACAAGGAAGGACTTGTTCTTTTCATTCTGATGAGGGTTAAAAAAAGACAGTTTTTGCCTTTCTCTTCTCTCATCCTCCCAGCCCCACCTTTAGCAGATGCTCCTGTCCTCAGTAGTACAACCTTGGACAGTAACTGACTTTGACCTTTGGTTTCTCTCTCTCTACTAAAGGTGAACAACACTCACTGCCTAGAGGTGTTATGATCAGATTGGGCGGCATTAAAATTGATTAAAACATTGTTTAGCTTGAAATCGTTACAAATAAGGTATAGCATTAATACTCGCTTTTGCCAGTGTAACTTCAAATGGATTTATTTTCACAATATTGTATTAAAATATAATTTCTATTTTATTATTTCATTGTAGTACTTTTGCAATTACTTAATATGTTAAGAATTTCTCAAACAAGGTTTGTTTAAAATTTCGAAGGCTATTTAGAATATCCTAGTTTGCAATTCGACAGCCTATGCCCCCGAGTTTATTTGCAAATAGAAGTTTCCAAAGCCTGTAGTTTTCCATTTATAGGAATGACCATTTCAGTCCCAGCCTTCTGTTCTCAGGGTGAGCCCCCACCCAGACCTGTTTCCTGTGCTGCTGTGAATAGGTTGTTGAACTGGGTACTTGACAGCTCAGAGAAAAGCTGCTGGGGGGTTTTGTGAAAGGGGTGCATCACTTTTTAGAGACAGATAGGATCTCAGGGGTTCATGTATGAGACCACAGTAAGGTCTTCTATTAACGAGTGGCCATGCTCTGAATTTGGAGTGTTATCCTGAGAGCCTCCCACCGCTGGATGGAACTTGGTATGATGATCAGATAACCTTCTGCCTGGGCGCTGGCCTCAGATGTGTGTGCCATCAGTACATGCTCTCTCTCTCTTCCTCTCTTTCCCAGGACCTGTCTGGCTCCATCGATGACCTGCCCACGGGAACGGAAGCCACTCTGAGCTCAGCCGTCAGCGCATCCGGGTCCACGAGCAGCCAGGGGGATCAGAGCAACCCAGCCCAGTCGCCTTTCTCTCCGCACGCCTCCCCCCACCTCTCCAGCATCCCTGGCGGCCCTTCGCCTTCTCCTGTGGGCTCGCCTGTAGGAAGCAACCAGTCCCGATCGGGCCCGATTTCCCCCGCAAGTATTCCAGGTATTCACTCTCTTACCAATTATTATTTTACCCATTAACAGAGAGAGACCTACTGTTCATCAGCAGCCACGTGCATTCCATGACTTTATTTTTTTTAATCTAGTGATGGCACCGTGTTTAAGAGCAGAACGTGGTGAGTTATTACCAAAGCAGGAAGGAGTCCCAGTTCCTACAGACATTCAGCTAATGAATCCAAAACCTGCTTGATAAAAATCACCTGTTGCTTTGATTTGCACATTTACCTTAACCTCTGCCAGAAAATGATTCTCTCGACATATGTTTTGGAATAAGTCTGTTAGAAAAGAGCCTCTCCTGGCAAATGCCACTAGGGAGATGATCTCACCTAGTATTGTCCTCAGTTTTCATGGTTCTACTTCATTTATACCATGACAGTTACTTTCTAAAATATTTTTGGTGTTTTTGCTTGTCATTATTCATTTACTCGCACACATCCAACGTGGCCTGGTCACTGACACAACTCTTACCTTCCAGTTTGATATCAGGAATTCACGTTACTAGCGCCCACGTTCGCTGGAGCTCAGTAGTCAGGCTTCCTTTATTTCGTATGTGGGGCTATTTGCTTGTCACTGGCCTCATTCTCACCCAGCTTTCTCGTATCAAATGTCATCCATCCAAACAACTAACTCCTCATGAACAAACTGAATGTGACCCTCTTGTGTAACCTCTGCTAACCTGCCATAGATGGCCAGAAAGCGCTTTCCGCTGCGCTCTCAGAATCGCTGCGGTACCACTGATAAATTTTCTAGTAATTTATTATCTTGAAAGTACAGGTGGTAATTTTACTCTTTCCCCCCCTTTATTCCTTTTATATTTAAAAAGTTTATTATGGAAATTTTCATATATGTAAATCTATATACATATGAGTATATGAACATAGGTAATGTGCAAATTAGGAAACACAAGCATAGAGTAACCTCCCTTCTGCTCAGACTGGACAGCTCAGTCTGTGTAGACCAGCATGTTCCTTGCTTACTCAATGCCTGTGTCCTTTTCTGCCTCGAATTTTCTGGGAATTTTTTTAAATAATTTTTTTTGTTCGTTTTGGGAGGTTTTTTAGAGGATTTTATTACAAGTAATTATGGAGTCTAATGGTTTGTTTTCAGCTTCGAGCTTTGTGGGGACGGATCCTTTTTAGTGTGGCATATACTAAGTGTGCCCTCCAAGCCTAAGCACTCATGGGCGTGTAAGCATGGCTGCGCTTGGAGTGAGCTGGGCAGCCGGCAGGCGCCAGGACAGGCTGGTTGGCCCAGGTGGTCTCCAGGCGTGGTCTTGAGCAGCGTGCTTCTTGACTGCATGTTACATTTCGAGATTCATCTGTATTTTGAATAGAACCAGAGTTTAAGTGCATTTCAGCAAAAGCATATTGATGTTACTTCTCTTTAAAAAATATTTATCTGCGTAGGGGTTATCCTAGAACCTGGATTTACCTGCCTTGAGCCTCTTTAAAGTGACAGGCACCCCATCAACATCAAGGCTTAGGCATCACCTACCTCAATGTCATGGTGTCCCTATCCGTTCAGGAAGAACTCACTCCTTTCTGAATTTGGTCAAAAGAACTTTCCTTCACTACCTAAATGAAAACTCTTCTGAGATAGAAAGATATTGACGTTTTTTCCGTTTAACATCCCTGGGTGCTCCACAAATCTGATGATTTTCATACATGTTTATCACATAAACCAAATGAGAATTTTGACACTTTTATTTCACTGTTTGGATTTTGATGCAGCACAGAATATAGAACCCACAAATGAGCTCCCTTTGAACATGCAATGCCCCATCCGGGGGGGGGCTCGCTCTGTGGGGACCCTCATGTGACTGTGGCTGAGCTCAGCGTCCTGCGCGAGTGTTCTCGGGGTGGGCAACACTGGTCAGTGTTGCCCTCTGTGTCCTGTGTGCACAAACAAGGCCTGTCCTCCACAGGGACTGCAGGGAACCTGCATCTCTCTGCCATCTTCTTGGGGAAGTGAGCTTTTAATAAAAAGCTTTCAGCTTTCTTAGAAATGTTTGAAGTATGTAGTTTCTTTTCCAGACATGTGTCAGAAATGCTTGCTGCCCAAGGCCTGCATTTTCATGTCCCTGCTTCCTTCCACGTGGTGCTTGATGGAACTCCTCAGCGGAATTTAGGACAGGGAAGAAAGGACGCAGCAAAGTTCTTTTGCTCTGAGTTTGGAGGCATGCTGTTCAGATAAATCCATGACTGTCTTTCCTGAGTGTAAAACCTTAATGTAACAAAATGACATAAAACATGGCACAGAGAACATTTCTTACTGTCAGTGTTAGGAGCAGTTACCACCGCTTAGGAAACCTGATAAGCAGGTCGGCGTTTGCACGCCTTCTTCCCAGTGGAATTTCACACTATGTCCGTCTGAACTGGACGGACTTTCATATCACCCGATCCTACCTATCGTATAGCCACTTACTAGCTATGTAGCCTCGGGCGAGCTTATAAATCCCTCCGTACCCAGTTTCTGCATCTGTAAAGATACCAACTTTACTCCGTAGAGGTGAATGGGGAATAGGCCTAGAGCAGACATGTGGCAAGTGTTCAGCGCACACGAGTGACTGACAGTATTCAAACCGAGGCCTCAGGCTTGTCCGTGGTAATCATTGTCCACAGCTGCTCAGCTGGTGGGACAGCGAGTCATCTTCTCAGTCTGGCGGTCTTCTCGCCCAGTTCAGAAGGCCTGTCTATCGGTTTCCAGTGGTGCCTTGCTGCCCTGAGTTATTCCACAAGATTGCTAGAGCTAGCTATTAAGGTGTAATGTGTTTTCCTAAGTTGAATCCATTTTTCTTCCAACTTGAAAAAGAAGATAGGTCAGTGGTGGCTCTTTCGGGGAGTTTTATCTGGGAAGGTGAAGAGAAGACCAGAAGACAAGCATTAGGCAAGCATCTAGAACCCTCCACAGCAGATGGGTTTCTCTGGCTGTGATGGAAGGGCAGTCTAGTGTCAAATCTACACACAGTGGCAGTTCAGAATCCTGGGCTATTTCTTGCATTTTTGCTGTGTTAGGACAGCATCTGCCAACCGCACCACCTTGTCAGTGGCCTTGACTGTTTAGCTACCTGCTGGTTACCCGGCTGCTCACTGGACAGGGCTGTGGGCCCCAGGGAAGTTCTCCTGGGGCCGGGGCGCATACAAGGAGCCACAGTGCTCTTGGCACCCTGTCCTGGCCTCTTGGCCTGTCACCACCAGCCTTGACTTGAGCCCAGATTCTACCTCTTTCTCCATCCTGTCCCCCACCTAAGCCCGGGGACATTCCAAACTATGTTTCTGATAGATACACCTTCCAAACTTTATACGGTGCTAAAATACTTTTGTTAGAAGTTGTTCAGGTTTTGTTGAAATATATTTGGGTCTTCTATTTCTCTTCTACTTCCCTCCACCTAGCCTAGATGTCCTTCTTTTTTGCTTTTTTAATGTATTTGTGTGAACTTGATCATACATAATAAAACCACACAGGCATGATCATAAAATTGATATTTTAAATTTGATTTTTTTTATTTAATTAAATGCAAAGATACTGTCCCTTGGAGAAGAATGCAGCCCATTTAGTAATCTCACCTCCCCGTTTTCTCATCTCTAGTCCTTATTTTGATGGTTTGTTCACCTACGCATTTGGTCCCAGGACAGCTTACAGCTCCCCTTCCTTTGCTCCTGAGTTTGTACCAATGAGGCAGAAATGCCAGTAGAGCCCAGCCAGAGCGTGATGCTTGCACTGCTGCCCTGGGAACATCTGTTTGGAATTTCCCCTGATTTTTCTGTGTGTGGCCTTTGACTTTCTCTTCTCTCCTCCCTCCCTTCCTAGCCCTGCCTTTTTTTTCTGACTTCACTTCTCTGCCGTTACCGCCCTGCGCAATGGCTTCTGCTGCATCTCCTTGTGTCACTCAGCTCTGTCCATCAGTGTCTCTCCAGCAAGTCATTGTTAAAATGCACAGCTGTTGTATAGCTGATAGCCAGGCCGGGAAGCGAAAATGTATGTGGGGGTGAGTGGGAGGGTGTTGGGGGGTGTTCCTTTCCCCCAGGGTTATGGAGAAAGAGCAGTCATTTTTCTCCATCTCTGCCCTGGTAAATGAAGTTGACAACTAATGAGAAGCATCACAAAGGGAGATAAACAAGCCCAGTAAAGCGCCCCGAATGGCTGATCTGTCTCCTGCCTGTGAAGCGTTTCTCCACCCACTGCAGGGCTGCCCTCCTGTCAGGCTGCAGCTGCCTCACCGGCTCTGCGGGTGCCGCAGAGGGGCTCCTGGGGCTCCTGCCCAGCCCTCCCTCAGCAGGGCTGTCCTTCCTGCACTCTCGCGGGGAGCAGGAGGAGGCCTGCTGTGGTAGTGCAGACCACATGGCCCAGTGGACTCTCAGATTGCGCGGTACTGGCCCCAGCCCTGAGCTGTCTCCAGTGAAAAGGTGAAAACTCAGCCGTGCGCACCCAGCCTAACCAACCCAGCCTAACCAAGCGTCTGGGAATAGTGGCGTGTCCTGGACACTCCCGCGCAGTCTGCGTTTTCTTGTTTTTACTTATTTTCATTTCTCTCTCCTCTTCATGCCCATGTATTTACATTTAGAGAAAGAAAGGAAATCTCTCCCTATTTTTGATGGTTAGGGTGCATGTATAAATGAAGCACATAAAAATAGGGTGCATATAAATGAAGCACAGCTAAGTCGGGAGCTGTCGACGTTAACCTCGATGGCCTGGGACACGTTGCCTACTTCTAATACAAGAGCCATCACACTGTGACATCACTTTGAGCCGGGGCTGCACCCAGGGCTCTTTGTCGTGGTTCAGGGAGCAGGAACTGTTGGCGCTGAGAGGATGGTGCAGGTCCACAGGGCCTGGTTCCTCCCAACGCTTGTGTGGAAGCTGACACAGCACAACCGCTGTTGCCAGAAGGTTTAGTGGATGCTAATTTCACTTGTCTTGCCTCCAGAGCCGACCATTGCAGTTTACTAACAAAGCAAAAATGTAAATAAGTCAACTTATTTG